GGCATAGAAATTGTACAAACAAAGTTTGTTAAAAGACTATTGAGAGTAAAGCAATCAACTTCAAACTTGGCTGTTCTGGGTGAATTAGGGAGACATCCCATGTGTGTTGTTTATTATAAAAAGTGTATAAAGTATTGGTTTAATATTTTAAGTATGGACTCCTCTAGATATCCACGAAGGTGCTATGATATGTTAGTAAATTTACACAATGCTGGAAGAGTAACTTGGGCTACAAATATTAGAGATCTATTGTACAAATATGGATTTCATTATGTATGGATATATCATGAAGTTGGCGATGTAAATAGTTTTATGAGACTGTTTACCCAAAGAGTAAAAGACACTTGTATGCAAGAATGGGATTTTGGAATAAATAACTCTAATAAACTGAATTTTTACTCGGATGTCAAAACTTTAATTGAACCCGAACGATACTTATATTGTATTACAAATAAGTCTCATAAAATTGCTCTAACCAGGCTGCGTGTATCCAGTCATGAATTATTTATTGAAAAAGGTCGTGAACTAAAAATTCCAAGGGAAGAAAGATTATGTAATTACTGTTTATATACAAACAATACAAGACTCATTGAAGATGAATATCATTTTTTATTACACTGTCCATTATATGAACATATAAGACAAATGTGTGCATTGGAAAACTATGTTGAAGCAAAATATATGTTAATAACTGGAAATGAAGATAAATTAAGAAATGTTGCTAAATTTGTATATTTAGCTTTTGAAGCAAGATCAAATTATATTATATCTGTGACATCACAAATTTAGTATTATTAAATCGGAAGTCAGTGCTATATATTAGTAAATTGTACGTTATAAGGTACTTTGCAGAAATTGTTTTTGATGTAAAAATTGTGTGAATATGGTTATTATGTACTGTGCAAATTGTACTATGGGCTAGTTGGCCTTGAAATACTTAATAAAATATCTTGAACTTGAACTTGAACTTGTGTAAAATATAAAGCCATGGTTTATGACCATTCCATATGTATTTTGTATTAATAAAGGGGATAAAAATCATAGGAACAGTTTATTTCAAGGGGGGCGGGGGCTAGCGAGTACTATGTGTATACCAATAATTTGCATGGCTAGAGTTGCACTGACACGATTACCATGCCGAATGAATATGCTACCCCAGTTCTACATTTGTTAGAGACTTTGATTGTAACAAAGCATTTTAGTAAGTTGGCGGTCTTTATAGCAGATACAAAACATCTGTCATTGGTTTTTAATATGTTATATCATATAGTCTATGTTGCGTTTATATTTTTTTTTATTTTGTCAAAAATGATGTGTAAGCCCGGGCTTTTTTGCTACATAGGTTGTTACGCGCCTGCCTCCCTACCAACTGGGATTAACCGAAGCTAAGTATTGCATGCATACTTAACCCCTCCGCATTAAAGCCATTTTGGTCTCTGTGGAGATTAACATATAGATAGATAGATAGAAACAAATAACGCAAACAGCATTTTAGTTTTGGTCAGGTACGTCTGGACCTCTCAATCTACACGTGCTGAATTTTCCTGAGGTCAGCCTCAGTTCAGATCTGTACCTGTCGTTTTCTTTACATGTTGAACCGGTTAAACCGTTTCAACCGAATAAGCGAAAGTACCAGAGTATTCCATAGGGACTGATAATTTGTAATAGATGATGGCAATTATTTCTAAGCCCCTAAAACGTGTAAAGTTACTCAGAACACCTCACTTTATAATTATGTCAAAACATAGCTATACAAATTTTCAGATTATTTTTGTGGAATAATTAGACATCACAAGGGGGTTCATAGATTGGTTCAGAAACGTCCTAACTTCCCGCCCTTTTAAGTTGCTCTTTACAAGGAAAGGATACGAGATGTTCCGGAGAAGATCATGTGACCGTAACAAAATGGCCGCTTACATGCACAGCTAGATATTTTTTTATGAAAAATGAACCACTACCGTTTAGTTGGTTTGTTGTTGCATGTCAGCTGTTTTTATACATGCACATGTCTCGGTCCGTTCGGTATGATGTACCCGAAAGACTCTGAGAGCAGGACAGTCAAACTTCTGGACGGGATGTGGAATTTCCGAGTGGATGACTCGTCGAACAGAAACCGGGGGTTCGAGGAAAAGTGGTATTCTGTTCCTCTCAGACAGGTTTGCATATATACATAATTTCATTTTCTAATGCACGTGTTTAAAGTTAAATGAGACATCGCTCTACATCTAAATAACTGTCACTAACTAAACTCCAACCCCTAGTAAAATGACTCCGTTCCAGAAAGCATGATATTTTGTCATAAATCATTCATGATATCACGCGTACGCTAGGAGCAGTTTAGATCGACAGGAAAATATTTTTTCTTTAATTTGATGTATGATTCAGTTGGTCGGACACTCTGCTGTCCCAAAAATGACATGCCAAATACCTAGCTAGAGTGTGTAGCGCAAAGCACACAGCATGCATGCTATTCAATGTCAGTACATTGTTTTTACGATAGGATGATAGTACAGGCCCTTACATTATCATGTCAGACACCCGAGTCCAGTTTTCAAGCTGGTCAGGCTTACAATCAGATATCTGAACAGAGACTGCCATCTTCTCTAACTTTGTGACCTCGACACTGATATTGGCGCTACAGTTCGACAATGGCAAGGAAATTTCACGGCTGAATATAATTAACTTGCTATCATTTTCTTGATTACTTGTTCTCCTTGTGAAGTTGAATAAAACATAATATCACATGTGCAGTTTGTGTGTCTTCCTCTGATTGACCATACCTATTTGTCTTTTCGAGACAAGTCGATATAATTAGAACAAGTTTTATAAACGGAATGAAACAAAACTTTCCTGTTGTTTTGTGTGTTTCTCACGTGTTAAAAGATAGAAAGTGAATTCATCATCTATTTGTTTTCATTGTACTTTGGCACCTCATACAATATCCTTGAAATTTATAAAAAGGTTTTACAAATTCTATTTTTGGTCAGTGTTTCAATAGAATGATAATATAAATTGGAAAGTGAAGGACGTCTCTTCCTATTTGATCTGACTGAGGATAAAAATATTAGAATTTAAAAAAAACAACGCTTTATTAAACGTGCATTGATTGTACCACCATCTCCAGACAGGGGAGGTAATTCCGATGCCAGTTCCATCCAGCTACAATGACATCACACAGGAGAAGAGAATCCGTGATTTTGTGGGCTGGGCCTGGTATGACCGTGAATTTTTCCTACCTCAGGACTGGACATCTAAGCGTGTTGTACTACGTGTGGACAGTGCCCACTACAACGCCATTGTGGTATGGTTTTAATTTAAAGGAAACCGTGTCTGGGTCAGGAAGACATTTTCAAATCTTAGTCATGCCTACTTTTTCAAAAATAGATACATGTATATAGACTTCAATGGGTTTATTTTGATGGTTTCACTAATAAAGTACAAATTTGCAAGATCAATTTTTGTCAGATTTCAAAAGAGTCAACATAGAGATTTTCGATACTTGGGCTCTGTTCTTGATATTACGATTTTTCTCTACAGTCTTGGAATATGACAATGTTGAAGGCTCTGTACGCATCACCTTGTGCACGATACAAGTTTGATCCTTTGATGTGCATCAAAAGAATTTCAAGTCAGCATAACATAAAATACTTGTTTTGAGGTCGGGTGTCCTTCCTGTGTACTTTTCAAGGTATCAGCTTTGCGATTGTTTTATACCTGAAACAAATCAATTTGCTAACCACATGCCTTCAATATTGTCATGACTTGTACATGTTCCAAGGATGTAGAGAAGATATGTATATTGAAAGTGGATTCCTTGAATATCAAAGATGACCTAGTTAAGAAGTCTTAGAAACTCTCAGTGATAATGTATAATTATCATATTAATTATTTATCATTAATTATTGGTTTTTATTAAAGAATTAAGGAATTCTATGTTTGACTGATGACAGATCTACCTTGTAGTGGGTGAACTCGGTAGAACTGGTCAGACATGAGGGAGGTCACTTGCCTTTTGAAGGGGAGATAACTCGCTGGGATATACCTATTGTGCTTGGAGGGAACAACAGGCTGACAATTGCCATCAACAACACATTGTCTCCAACCACCCTCCCACCAGGGACTATCCAGTACCAACATGATATAAACAGGTATAGACCTCTCCCCTCCAACCAGGGACTATCTAGTACCAACATGATACTAACAGGTATAAACCTCTACCCTCCAACCAGGGACTATCCAGTACCAACATGATATAAACAAGTATAGACCTCTCCCCTCCCACCAGGGACTATCTAGTACCAACATGATACTAACAGGTATAAACCTCTACCCTCCAAACAGGGACTATCCAGTACCAACATGATATAAACAAGTATAGACCTCTCCCCCCCAACCAGGGACTATCCAGTACCAACATGCTATTAACAGGTATAGACCTCTCCCCTCCCACCAGGGACTCTCCAGTACCAACATGATATTAACAGATCTCTCCTCTCCCACCAGGGACTATCCAGTACCAACATGCTATTAACAGGTATAGACCTCTCCCCTCTAACCAGGGACTATCCAGTCCCAACATGATATAAACAAGTATAGACCCCTCCCCTCCAACCAGGGACTATCCAGTACCAACATGCTATTAACAGGTATAGACCTCTCCCCTCCAACCAGGGACTATCCAGTATCAACATTATATTAACAGGTATAGATCTCTCCTCTCCCACCAGGGACTATCCAGTACCAACATGATATAAACAGGTATAGAAATCTCCCATCTCCCCTCCCACCAGGGAATATCCAGTACCAACATGCTATAAACAGGTATAGACATCTCCCCTCTCCCCTCCCACCAGGGACGATCCAGTACCAACATGATATTTACAGGTATAGACCCCTACCCTCCCACCAGGGACTATATCATTATATTAACAGGTATAGATCTCTCCCCTCCCACCAGGGAATATCCAGTACCAACATGCTATAAACAGGTATAGACATCTCCCATCACCCCTCCCACCAGGGACTATATCATTATATTAACAGGTATAGATCTCTTCTCTCCCACCAGGGACTATCCAGCACCAACATGATATTAACAGATCTCTCCTCTCCCACCAGGCACTATCCAGTACCAACATGATATAACCAGGTATAGACATCTCCCATCTCACCTCCCACCAGGGACTATCCAGCACCAACATGATATTAACAGGAATAGACCTCTCCCCTCCAACCGGGACTATCCGGTACCATCATTATATTAACAGGTATAGCCCCCTCCCCCCCAACCAGGGACTATCCGGTACTGTCATTATATTAACAGGTATAGACCTCTCCCCTCCAACCAGGGACTATCCAGTATCAACATGATATTAACAGGTATAGATCTCTCCTCTCCCACCGGGGACTATCCAGTACCAACATGATATAAACAGGTATAGACATCTCCCATCTCCCCTCCCACCAGGGACTATCCAGTACCAACATGATATTTACAGGTATAGACCCCTACCCTCCCACCAGGGACTATCCAGTACCAACATGATATTAACAGGTATAGACCTCTCCCCTCCAACCAGGGACTATCCAGTACCAACATGATATAAACAAGTATAGACCTCTCCCCTCCAACCAGGGACTCTCCAGTACCAACATGATATGAACAGGTATAGACCTCTCCCCTCCCATCAGGGACTATCCAGTACCAACATGATATTAACAGGTATAGACCCCTCCCCTCCCACCAGGGACTATCCAGTACCAACATGATATAACCAAGTGTAGACATCCACCCTCCGACCAGGGACTATCCAGTACCAACATGATATTAACAGGTATAAACCTCTACCCTCCCACCAGGGACTATCCAGTACCAACATGATATAAACAGGTAAAGACATCTCCCCTCCCACCAGGGACTATCCAGTACCAACATGATATTAACAGGTATAGACCTCTCCCCTCCCACCAGGGACTATCCAGTACCAACATGATATTAACAGGTATAGACCTCTCCCCTCCCACCAGGGACTATCCAGTACCAACATGATATTAACAGGTATAGACCTCTCCCCTCCCACCAGGGACTATCCAGTACCAACATGATATTAACAGGTATAGACCTCTCCCCTCCCACCAGGGACTATCCAGTACCAACATGATATTAACAGGTATAGACCTCTCCCCTCCCACCAGGGACTATCCAGTACCAACATGATATTAACAGGTATAGACCTCTCCCCTCCCACCAGGGACTATCCAGTACCAACATGATATTAACAGGTATAGACCTCTCCCCTCCCACCAGGGACTATCCAGTACCAACATGATATTAACAGGTATAGACCTCTCCCCTCCCACCAGGGACTATCCAGTACCAACATGATATTAACAGGTATAGACCTCTCCCCTCCCACCAGGGACTATCCAGTACCAACATGATATTAACAGGTATAGACCTCTCCCCTCCCACCAGGGACTATCCAGTACCAACATGATATTAACAGGTATAGACATCTCCCCTCCCACCAGGGACTATCCAGTACCAACATGATATTAACAGGTATAAACCTCTTCCCTCCCACTAGGGACTATCCAGTACCAACATGATATAAACAGGTAAAGACCTCTCCCCTCCCACTAGGGACTATCCAGTACCAACATGATATTAACAGGTATAGACATCTCCCCTCCTACCAGGGACTATCCAGTACCAACATGATATTAACAGGTATAGACCCCTCCCCTCCCACTAGGGACTATCCAGTACCAACATGATATTAACAGGTATAGACATCCCCCCTCCCACCAGGGACTATCCAGTACCAACATGATAAGACTAGGTATAGACATCTCAAATTATAAACAAGGCCCAATCAATAAGGAAACATTGAATATAACAACTAATAAATCAAAGTAAAACAATAAATCTGTACGAGAACCTTGAACTGTCGTGTCACCATTTTAACACGTAAACATGGCGAAAAACATACATGTACAAAGTACAAAACAAAAATATTATTTATCACTTTAAATTAGAGATTTCAAATAATTTTTCTTGCCGTGTGTTCCATCACTTAACAATCACATTCAATCTCATGTCGTATATACAGGATCTCAAAGATGTTCAAAGTTTCACATTATTCGTGAGTCAGAAGTCTGTATGATTCCAAATTTCCCCGATGGTCCCGGAGAGTTCGAAACATAAAAGTTAGACTGTATAACAAAATCAATTTGATGCAGACACCCAAAATAATTTTCCCATTGTGGAAAGATGAAGGATATTTGTACAATTCATTGAAAATCCTGTTTAGGTATATAAAGGTTGTTTCTGATGTTAGGACTCATCCCTACAGACACAAGAGTTCATGGCTGGCTAAGGCTGTAGAGAGTCGACTCCTCGTAGACAGGGACTTAACAAGATTTAACAGGAACATTTGATCATTCCAGATATCCGGAGGGTTATTTTGTGCAGAACTTACAGATGGACTTTTTTAACTACGCCGGGTTACATCGCCACATACAACTTTACACCACACCCAAGACTTACGTCCAGGATGTTATTATTGCCACAACCCTACAGGGTTTAAACGGTAAATAAACCACAAATGATTTTTAGCTCACAGGGTCCGAAGGACCAAGGTGAGCTTATGCCATACTGTGGCATTCGTCGTCCGTACGTCAACAATTTCTTCAAAAGACTTCTTCTTAACCACTGATTGGAAAGTGTGGAAAGGGTCTATGAACCTTCATATTGCACTTGAGTGATAGACTAGCTCTTATAATTATATCCAAATGATACAGCTAGAATTGCCAATATAATACAAAGTAGGACCCTGACCCAGTCATATGATAATTACAGATTTTATAACTGTATCAATAATTGCAGTACATGTATTATACTTACCAATCACTAGTTCCGATGTACAAATTTTTCCCACAGAAATCGATACATTCAATCTGGAGGGGGGAAAAAAGAATGAAATAAAGCAGATGATATCTTACCATTTATGATGGATCAACATTGAATTTGTTAATTTTGAAATAGCACATACCTTTAATAAGTGTTTAATTTACAATATCTCATAGGTTAACTTGGAATAAACTGTGAATGGAAGCATCCCTAGGTGGTGGAGATTCAACATTGTACAAATGGTTGGGCTGACCCCCCAGGGGGCTGAGGGGCAGGGCCAAAAAGGGTTATTTGGCCATATTGCTTTAAGCGACTTCTTCTCTGACACTAAGAGATGGATATCAACCATATATGACTGTAAGCATCCCTAGGTAGTGCAGATTCAAAAATGCACAAATGGTGGGGCTGACCCCCCAGGGGGCTGATGGGCAAGCCAAAAGGGGTCAATTTGGCTATATTGCTACAAACGACTTCTTCTTTAGAACTATGCACTTCATAACAATCATATATTTGATCGGAGGCATTCCTGGGAGGCGGGGATTCAAAATTGTACAAATATTGGGGCTGACCCCTTGGGCTAAGGGGTGGGACCAAAAAAAGTTTATTACTTGGAAATGGTTGAGATCCCCACCATATAACCTAAATACAATTGCTGAGTATAAAGAGAAGAATGCACATATGCTTCCAGGATGGCTGTAGGGTCTGGCCCCACCCTTGGAGACATAGTCCCTGGGTCATAACTTTGAAACAGTTGAGATCCCCACCCCAAAACTACATATGCAAATGCTGGGCATAAAGAGACAAGTGCAGTCATGATTTTAGAATAGATCCTGGGATCTTACCGAACCCCTAGGGACCTAGTTTCTGAGTCGCAGCTTGGAAACAGTTGAGATCCCCCCCCCCCCATAAACATACATAAAATTGCTTGGCATAAACAAATCAAATACAGATATGCTACAAGGATTGGACTTGGGGTCTGCCNAACTATATATACAAATTCTTAGCATAAAGAGACAAATGCAGTAATGATATTCGAATTGATCCTGGGGTCTGGCCACAACCCTCGGGATCTAGTTTATGAGTCACAGCTTGGAAACAGTTGGGATCCCTACCCTATAACCATATATACAATTGCTGATTATGAAGAGATGAATGCACATACACTTCCAGGATGGCCTTGGGGTCTGTCCCACCCTTGGAGACTTAACCCATGGGTCATAACTTCGAAATGGTTAAGATCCCCACCCCAAAACTATACATACAATTGTTGGGCATAAAGAGGCAAATGCAGTTAGATATAAGAATTGATCTTGGGGTTTGGCCACAACCCTAGGGACCTAGTTTCTGAATGACAGATTGGAAACAGTTGAGATTCCCACCCTATAATCATACATAAAACTGCGGGGCATGACAAAGCTAATACAGATATGCTACAAGAATTGGCTTTGGGGTCTGGCATATTCCCTTGTATCTCATTTGGAGAATATTTTGCCATGAGCGATACATGAGCGATACAGGCCCTCTGGGCCTCTTGTTTCAGGATCAAGAAGTTATAAAATTCCTAAAATTTCAATGCTGATATACTTTATGTATCTATGAAGGTACCACATGAGTTCCTTATTCCAAAGTTTTTGTTCTATCAATTTCTTTAATACTGGTTAAGGGCCACAAGATCCCCATTTGACCCAGAGGGGGTGAAAGAATCTAAGTTTACTATGGGTGCTAAGTTTATCTTACTGGACTAGGTCCGAAAGAAAGATACATCTGTGGTATTGTGTACCTACCATTGTTCTTTACAGACAAGCCTTTGTTATAGTCACCATTATACCAGCTAATCGACACTCCAATTTGTCAGGATAAAATCCCAGTTCACAAAGGAAACCAGCACTCTTCTGTGTGTTTTTTTGGTAATGTGGCATTTATTTAAATACAGTTGATTAAAAAATTGAAGTGATATAAAATAGTGCTTTCCGTTTCACAATATATTTGAAAATTCTCTATTTTAGAGTTTTGCTGATGATTTTTCCAAATTTGGAATTTGGAACCAGTGTCCTTTTCCCAGAATGCCCTGATTATTCCTTGTAATTCTGTAACAAGGATACCTCCATTCCTCCTAGGTGGCGCTGTAAGTTTATCACAATTTTTTATTGTTGCTGAGACTACAGGTCAGTTGTAACCTTGACCCCACATTGACCTTTCCTTTGTGACAGGTTTGGTGAAATATACAGTGAGCACTAGTGGTCAGCCAGGCAATGTCCAGCTGGCTGTAGAGATCATTGACCGTGATGGGCGGGTAGTGGGCCATAGTAACCAGTTTCAGGACACCATTACAGTGGGCGATGGTCACTTTTGGTGGCCGTACACGATGAACAGCTCGTCCCCAGGGTACCTCTACACATTCGAGGTCAGTTTTTTTTAAAATGTGAAAACAAACATCCACTAATACTTGCTGATTGACAAAACTGAAAAATTGAGTAAAATATTGAAAACACACTTCACTATGGTGATGTGTATGACCTTAAACTTGTTACATACTTGAGTTTGAAACTAATATAGACTTTCAAATGATCTTAACCAATATGTTTTAAGTGACCTTAACCTTTATGCTTTCAATGAAATTTCCTGACACATATGATTATGAGCTTGATTGAACTGATGATGTTGACCTTGGTATTTAAGACTGAATACTGATGTTGGTGTTTCAGATGAACTTGACATTATTGAGCAGTGGGGTGTCTGATGTGTACCGGCAGCAGTTCGGTATCCGCGAGGTCAAGGTCACAGATAAACAGCTGTTGATCAACGATCGACCATTTTACTGCCATGGTGTGGCCAAACATGAAGACTCTGATGTAAGGAAGCCAGGCTTTAGGCCACATACAGCAGGTCATTGTCACACACCTACCATGTGTGGCTTGTTACGTATTGTCTTCAAAATGCTGATTGTTCGGTGTACTTCTATGTTTGGGAATACATATGTAATGAAAAAAGCAGAAAATAAGTGTCAAGAATTTGACAAGATTTCTGCTCGTTAACATCCAGGCCATTACCCTCTTTGTCTGTGGTCAAAGGCTGTAGCAAGTCTATACAATTGTATTACCATATTTGACTGCAAAAAGACACCTCCCTAGTTACAAAAGATAGACCAGAAGTTTTGAGGGGGCAGCATTCCTGCTGATTAAAAGCATTCTTATTAGGAAATGAAGTCTGCCCCCTTGGACACACACCCCTGACACCTTGGACACCCACCCCTGACACCTTGAGCACCCGTCCCTGACACCTTGGATACCCACCCTGACACCTTGAACACCCACTCCTGACACCTTGGACACCTGCCCCTGACACCTTGGGCACCCACCCCTGACACCTTGGACACCCAACCATGACACCCTTGACACCCAACCCTGACACCTTGGACACCTGCCCCTGACACCTTGGACACCCACCCCTGACACCTTGGACACCCACCCCTGACACCTTGGGCACCCGTCCCTGACACCTTGGACACCCATTCCTTACCCCTTGGACCCCTGCCCCTGACACCTTGGACACCCACCCCTGACACCTTGGACACCCAACCATGACCCCCTTGACACCCAACCCTGACACCTTGGACACCTGCCCTTGACCCCTTGGACACCCACCCCTGACACCTTGGGCACCCGTCCCTGACACCTTGGACACCCATTCCTTACACCTTGGACACCTGCCCCTGACACCTTGGACACCAGCCAACATTAAACCACATTAAAAGACTTGTTGACATATCCTGTACTTTCAATAACATCTTGTTAAGGGAATGGGAGCATTTAACCTGTTGACAAATATGGTACTATTAAATTGAGTGAGATGTGTGAAATTTTAAAAATGAAATGTAAAATAAATGATATCATATTCATTTTTGAATTTTTAATATGGCAATAAATGCCAAATATTTTGTTTTTCAACTTTGTAATATTGAAAGTCAGCAATTTGTAAATTGGTATTTTCCCACAGAATTATATAAAAGAAGCACAGCTGTATGCAGTGTGTTTTAATTTGTTGCCGTAAAAACCTCATTGACTCAAACAAGCCGACTGTCATTACAGATAAGAGGGAAGGGGTTGGATTTCGCTCTTATTGCCAAGGACTTCAACCTGCTGAAGTGGTTAGGGGCAAACTGTTTCCGTACCTCACACTATCCGTACGCAGAGGAAATCATGGACATGGCTGACCAACAGGGCATCGTAGTCATCAACGAGAGTCCAGGCGTCGGAATCAGAAAGTAAGACTCACTGCAGAAATGGTCACATCAAAGTAAGAGGTAGTATACGGGGAACAATGGTGTCTGTCCTGTGTCTGTCTGTCTGGGGATACAAAGTAGAGGTAGTATACTGGGAACAATGGGGTCTGTCCTGTGTCTGTCTGTCTGGGGATATACAGTAGAGGTAGTATACCAGGAACAAAGGTGTCTGTCCTGTGTCTGTCTGGGGATATAAAGTAGAGGTATTATACTGGGAACAAAGGTGTCTGTCCTGTGTCTGTCTGTCTGGGGAAATAAAGTAGAGGTAGTATACTGGGAACAAAGGTGTCTGTCCTGTGTCTGTCTGTCTGGTGATATAAAGTAGAGGTAGTATACCAGGAACAAAGGTGTCTGTCCTGTGACTGTCTGTCTAGGGATACAAAATAGAGGTAGTATACTGGGCACAATGGTGTCTGTCCTGTGTCTGTCTGTATGGGGATACAAAATAGAGGTAGTATACCAGGAACAAAGGTGTCTGTCCTGTGTCTGTCTGTCTGGGGATATAAAGTAGAGGTAGTATACTGGGAACAAGGGTGTCTGTCCTGTGTCTCTCTGTCTGGGGATATAAAATAGAGGTAGTATACCAGGAACAAAGGTATCTGTCCTGTGTCTGTCTGTCTGGGGATATAAAATAGAGGTAGTATACCAGGAACAATGGTGTCTGTCCTGTGTCTGTCTGTCTGGGGATATAAAATAGAGGTAGTATACCAGGAACAAAGGTGTCTGTCCTGTGTCTGTCTGTCTGGGGATATAAAGTAGAGGTAGTATACCAGGAACAATGGTGTCTGTCCTGTGTCTGTCTGTCTGGGGATACAAAATAGAGGTAGTATACCAGGAACAAAGGTGTCTGTCCTGTGTCTGTCTGTCTGGGGATATAAAGTAGAGGTAGTATACCAGGAACAATGGTGTCTGTCCTGTGTCTGTCTGTCTGGGGATATACAGTAGAGGTAGTATACCAGGAACAATGGTGTCTGTCCTGTGTCTGTCTGTCTGGGGATACAAAATAGAGGTAGTATACCAGGAACAAAGGTGTCTGTCCTGTGTCTGTCTGTCTGGGGATATAAAGTAGAGGTAGTATACCAGGAACAATGGTGTCTGTCCTGTGTCTGTCTGTCTGGGGATACAAAATAGAGGTAGTATACCAGGAACAAAGGTGTCTGTCCTGTGTCTGTCTGTCTGGGGATATAAAGTAGAGGTAGTATACCAGGAACAATGGTGTCTGTCCTGTGTCTGTCTGTCTGGGGATATACAGTAGAGGTAGTATACCAGGAACAATGGTGTCTGTCCTGTGTCTGTCTGTCTGGGGATACAAAATAGAGGTAGTATACCAGGAACAAAGGTGTCTGTCCTGTGTCTGTCTGTCTGGGGATATAAAGTAGAGGTAGTATACCAGGAACAATGGTGTCTGTCCTGTGTCTGTCTGTCTGGGGATACAAAATAGAGGTAGTATACCAGGAACAAAGGTGTCTGTCCTGTGTCTGTCTGTCTGGGGATATAAAGTAGAGGTAGTATACCAGGAACAATGGTGTCTGTCCTGTGTCTGTCTGTCTGGGGATACAAAATAGAGGTAGTATACCAGGAACAAAGGTGTCTGTCCTGTGTCTGTCTGTCTGGGGATATAAAGTAGAGGTAGTATACCAGGAACAATGGTGTCTGTCCTGTGTCTGTCTGTCTGGGGATATACAGTAGAGGTAGTATACCAGGAACAATGGTGTCTGTCCTGTGTCTGTCTGTCTGGGGATACAAAATAGAGGTAGTATACCAGGAACAAAGGTGTCTGTCCTGTGTCTGTCTGTCTGGGGATATAAAGTAGAGGTAGTATACCAGGAACAATGGTGTCTGTCCTGTGTCTGTCTGTCTGGGGATACAAAATAGAGGTAGTATACCAGGAACAAAGGTGTCTGTCCTGTGTCTGTCTGTCTGGGGATATAAAGTAGAGGTAGTATACCAGGAACAATGGTGTCTGTCCTGTGTCTGTCTGTCTGGGGATATACAGTAGAGGTAGTATACCAGGAACAATGGTGTCTGTCCTGTGTCTGTCTGTCTGGGGATACAAAATAGAGGTAGTATACCAGGAACAAAGGTGTCTGTCCTGTGTCTGTCTGTCTGGGGATATAAAGTAGAGGTAGTATACCAGGAACAATGGTGTCTGTCCTGTGTCTGTCTGTCTGGGGATATACAGTAGAGGTAGTATACCAGGAACAATGGTGTCTGTCCTGTGTCTCTCTGTCTGGGGATACAAAATAGAGGTAGTATACCAGGAACAAAGGTGTCTGTCCTGTGTCTGTCTGTCTGGGGATATAAAGTAGAGGTAGTATACCAGGAACAATGGTGTCTGTCCTGTGTCTGTCTGTCTGGGGATATACAGTAGAGGTAGTATACCAGGAACAATGGTGTCTGTCCTGTGTCTCTCTGTCTGGGGATACAAAATAGAGGTAGTATACCAGGAACAAAGGTGTCTGTCCTGTGTCTGTCTGTCTGGGGATATAAAGTAGAGGTAGTATACCAGGAACAATGGTGTCTGTCCTGTGTCTGTCTGTCTGGGGATATAAAGTAGAGGTAGTATACCAGGAACAAAGGTGTCTGTCCTGTGTCTGTCTGTCTGGGGATATACAGTAGAGGTAGTATACCAGGACCAATGGTGTCTGTCCTGTGTCTGTCTGTCTGGGGATACAAAATAGAGGTAGTATACCAGGAACAAAGGTGTCTGTCCTGTGACTGTCTGTCTGGGGTTATGAAAAAGAGGTAGTATACTTGGAACAATGGTGTCTGTTCTGTGTCTGCCTGTCTGTCTGGGGATTTTTAATAGCGGTAGTATACTTGAAATAGTGGTGTCTGTCCTGTGTCTCTCTGTCTCATCTGCATCTAAACTGTTCAGTGAATTCAAACTTCTTTTCTGATTTGTCAATATAGAAGTGATATCACTTTCAATATGTGACAGAGTGTTAAAGATAGCATTAAATCAAATTGCTGGAATCTAATATTTCACTGGCTGTATCTACTCTACAGGGCCAACAACTTAAATCTAATATTTCACTGGCAAAACTGTAATATAATAATTGTAAACATACTGTATGTATCTACTCTACAGGGCCAACAACTTAAATCTAATATTTCACTGGCTGTATCTACTCTACAGGGCCAACAACTTAAATCTAATATTTCACTGGCTGTATCTACTCTACAGGGCCAACAACTTAAATCTAATATTTCACTGGCTGTATCTACTCTACAGGGCCAACAACTTAAATCTAATATTTCACTGGCTGTATCTACTCTACAGGGCCAACAACTTAAATCTAATATTTCACTGGCTGTATCTACTCTACAGGGCCAACAACTTAAATCTAATATTTCACTGGCTGTATCTACTCTACAGGGCCAACAACTTAAATCTAATATTTCACTGGCTGTATCTACTCTACAGGGCCAACAACTTAAATCTAATATTTCACTGGCTGTATCTACTCTACAGGGCCAACAACTTAAATCTAATATTTCACTGGCTGTATCTACTCTACAGGGCCAACAACTTAAATCTAATATTTCACTGGCTGTATCTACTCTACAGGGCCAACAACTTAAATCTAATATTTCACTGGCTGTATCTACTCTACAGGGCCAACAACTTAAATCTAATATTTCACTGGCTGTATCTACTCTACAGGGCCAACAACTTAAATCTAATATTTCACTGGCTGTATCTACTCTACAGGGCCAACAACTTAAATCTAATATTTCACTGGCTGTATCTACTCTACAGGGCCAACAACTTAAATCTAATATTTCACTGGCTGTATCTACTCTACAGGGCCAACAACTTAAATCTAATATTTCACTGGCTGTATCTACTCTACAGGGCCAACAACTTAAATCTAATATTTCACTGGCTGTATCTACTCTACAGGGCCAACAACTTAAATCTAATATTTCACTGGCTGTATCTACTCTACAGGGCCAACAACTTAAATCTAATATTTCACTGGCTGTATCTACTCTACAGGGCCAACAACTTAAATCTAATATTTCACTGGCTGTATCTACTCTACAGGGCCAACAACTTAAATCTAATATTTCACTGGCTGTATCTACTCTACAGGGCCAACAACTTAAATCTAATATTTCACTGGCTGTATCTACTCTACAGGGCCAACAACTTAAATCTAATATTTCACTGGCTGTATCTACTCTACAGGGCCAACAACTTAAATCTAATATTTCACTGGCAAAACTGTAATATAATAACTGTAAACATACTGTATGTATCTACTCTACAGGGCCAACAACTTTGGCAATTTGTCCTTGGCCCATCATCTCAAGGTCATGGATGAGATGTACAGGCGTGACAAAAACAGACCAGCGGTCATCTTGTGGTCAGTAGCCAACGAACCGGACACCACACATGACAATTCTATCTACTACTTTAAGTGAGTAAAATGTTTAATGGGCAGATACATGGAAAGGTAAGTAAATGAAATCTTTGCCTGCCATCTGTAGCCATTGACAACCAGTGACTAGGTAGTTTGGTTGGTGTCCATCAAGAGTTCAGAGGTGTCAGGATTAAATCTTTGTCCACTGTACCTGAACTTCCCTGTTCTATATACATTTAAATTTATCCAATGACCAGATCATAATGCTAAAGTGAAGTGATATTCAACAGACACTGTTGAAATAATGCTTACTACAACGGTGATGCAAAGATGTATGGAGAGTGTGTTTCCTATGTATAACACACAAGCTTTACTAATTACTTATTAGTATTATTTCATCATCAAACTTTTGCCAGTTCTACATTAAACTTATTGTACATTGATATTGATCTTCACATTTTTTCCTACGTCAAGAAAATACTGTCAATACTTATAATACTTATCTCCCCTTTACAGAACTCTCCTTTCCCATGTGAGATTTATTGACAGTACAAGACCTGTCACTTTTGTAGCCAACTCAGACTTCAGCTCAGAGAAAGTGGTAGGTCAATTTTCATTTCATGTAACTTACAAAAACACCTGTACATGTCTTGACAATATATATTGTGAATTCATTGCAAATTGGCATGAGCGCAGTAATAAATATTTTATTGTTGTGTAGTGGAACTGGACTGGGTCAAAGTAGCTGAGTTAGTAGAGCGTCTGTCTAACATTTCAATGTTTTGAATCCTAGTCTCACCTCACAATTCATTTCCTGTTAAAGTTATGCTTTGAGACATTGACCTTTGACTTGTAAAGGCAGATGTTAGTTGACCTTTGGCTTATAAAGATCCGGTACATTAAATTTGACTTTAACAGACCTATAGCACACTGAAACTTTGACCTTTACATATTAAACACACTTAACCTTTGACCTATACAGTTTTAGAGCAGTTGATCCTTGACCTCTACATAACCTTTTACCCATGCAGGCATATTAACCTTTTACCCATACAGGCCTATTAACCTTTTACCCATATAGGCCTATTACACTTCACTTTTTTGACTTATAAAGATCCAGTTCACTTAAACTTGATCTGTACAGTTGACCTTTGACAATACATATTATGTCTCAAGAGGCACAATACACATCTCTCCTTTGACCTGTATAGACAGAGTAAACTTTGATCTGTGTAAACCTATAGTACACTTGTACCTTAAATTGTCACCTTTGTTTTGACCTTTAACCTCAGGCCCAGTACACAGACATCATCTGTCTGAACCATTACAATGCCTGGTACCAGGACTGCTCTCACACAGAGCTCATACAGCGACAGCTGACCTATGACCTCCGTCAGTGGTACGCCAAATTTCGTAAACCAATCATGATAACTGAGTATGGGGCTGATACCATTGAAGGCTTTCACCAGGTAAGTACCATCTTGATACTCTCACAAACGAAGTTTGGGGAGGGCTGTTGGTATACCACAATCACACTGTCAGTCTCGGTAATCACTTTGGTCGTCAGTCTGTAGAAACTTCGGTTGTCTGTCTGTTGACACTTTAGTTGTCTGTCTATAGACACTTTGATTGTCAGTCTGTAGACACTTTGGTTGTCCGTCTGTAGAAACTTTGGTTGTCATTCTGTAGACACTTCGGTTGTCTGTCTGTAGACAGTTTGGTTGTCTGTCTGTAGAAACTTTGGTTGTCTGTCTGTAGACAATTTGGTTGTCTGTCTGTAGACACTTCAGTTGTCTGTCTGTTGACACTTTAGTTGTCTGTCTATAGACACTTTGATTGTCAGTCTGTAGACACTTTGGTTGTCCGTCTGTAGAAACTTTGGTTGTCATTCTGTAGACACTTCGGTTGTCTGTCTGTAGACAGTTTGGTTGTCTGTCTGTAGAAACTTTGGTTGTCAGTCTGTAGAAACTTTGGTTGCCTATCTGTAGACACTTTGGTTGTCCATCTGTTGACACTTTGGTTGTCTGTCTGTTGACACTTTAGTTGTCTGTCTGTAGACAATTTGGTTGTCTGTCTGTAGACACTTTGATTGTCAGTCTGTAGACACTTTGATTGTCAGTCTGTAGACACTTTGGTTGTCCGTCTGTAGAAACTTTGGTTGTCATTCTGTAGACACTTCGGTTGTCTGTCTGTAGAGAGTTTGGTTGTCTGTCTGTAGAAACTTTGGTTGTCTGTCTGTAGACACTTAGGTTGTCCATCTATAGACACTTAGGTTGTCAGTCTGTTGACACTTTGGTTGTCCATCTGTAGACACTTCGGTTGTCTGTCTGTATAGAGTTTGGTTGTCTGTCTGTAGAAACTTTGGTTGTCTGTCTGCAGACACTTAGGTTGTCCATCTGTAAACACTTAGGTTGTCCATCTGTAAACACTTAGGTTGTCCATCTGTAAACACTTAGGTTGTCCATCTGTAAACACTTAGGTTGTCCATCTGTAGACACTTTGGTTGTCCGTCTGTAGACACTTAGGTTGTCAGTCTGTAGACAATTTGGTTGTCCATCTGTAGACACTTTGGTTATCCATCTGTAGACACTTACATTGTCCATCTGTAGACACTTAAGTTGTCAGTCTGTAGACATTTAGGTTGTCAGTCTGTAGACATTTAGGTTGTCCATCTGAAGACATTTAGGTTGTCCATCTGTTAACACTTAGGTTGTCCATCTGTAGACACTTAGGATGTCCATCTGTAGACACTTAGGTTGTCCATCTGTAGACACTTAGGCTGTCCATCTGTAGACACTTAGGTTGTCCATCTGTAAACACTTAGGTTGTCCATCTGTTGACACTTTAGTTGTCCGTCTGTAGATACTTTGGTTGTCCATCTGTAGACACTTTGGTTGTCCATCTATAGACACTTAAGTTGTCAGTCTGTAGACATTTAGGTTGTCAGTCTGGCGACATTTAGGTTGTCAGTCTGTTGACACTTAGGTTGTCCAGCTGTAGACACTTAGGTTGTCCATCTGTAGACACTTTGGTTGTCCGTCTGTAGACACTTAGGTTGTCAGTCTGTAGACACTTTGGTTGTCCATCTGTAGACACTTTTGTTGTCCATCTGTAGACACTTAAGTTGTCAGTCTGTAGACATTTAGGTTGTCAGTCTGTTTCCGTCTGTTGACACTTTGGTTGTCCATCTGTAGACACTTAGGTTGTCCATCTCTAGACACTTTGGTTGTCCATCTATAGACACTTAAGTTGTCAGTCTGTAGACATTTAGGTTGTCAGTCTGTTTCCGTCTGTTGACACTTTGGTTGTCCATCTGTAGAAACTTAGGTTGTCAGTCTGTAGACATTTAGGTTGTCCATCTGAAGACATTTAGGTTGTCCATCTGTTGACACTTAGGGTGTCCATCTGTAGACAGTTAGGATGTCCATCTGTAGACACTTAGGTTGTCCATCTGTAAACACTTAGGTTGTCCATCTGTTGACACTTTAGTTGTCCGTCTGTAGATACTTTGGTTGTCCATCTGTAGACACTTTGGTTGTCCATCTATAGACACTTAAGTTGTCAGTCTGTAGACATTTAGGTTGTCAGTCTGTTGACACTTAGGTTGTCCAGCTGTAGACACTTAGGTTGTCCATCTGTAGACACTTTGGTTGTCCAGCTGTAGACACTTTGGTTGTCTGTCTGTAGACACTTAGGTTGTCTGTCTGTAGACACTTTGGTTGTCAGTCTGTAGAAATTTAGGTTGTCCATCTGTAGACACTTACGTTGTCCGTCTTTAGACACTTTGGTTGTCAGTCTGTAGACATTTAGGTTGTCAGTCTGTAGACATTTAGGTTGTCCATCTGAAGACATTTAGGTTGTCCATCTGTTGACACTTAGGTTGTTCATCTGTAGACACTTAAGTTGTCAGTCTGTAGACATTTAGGTTGTCAGTCTGTTGACACTTTGCATTTAGGTTGTCAGTCTGTTGACACTTAGGTTGTCCATCTGTAGACACTGGTTGTCCATCTGTAGAAACTTTTGTTGTCCGTCTGTAGACAATTTGGTTGTCTGTCTGGAGACACTTAGGTTGTCTGTCTGTAGACACTTTGGTTGTCAGTCTGTAGAAATTTAGGTTGTCCATCTGTAGACACTTACGTTGTCCATCTGTAGACCCTTACGTTGTCCATCTGTAGACACTTAAGTTGTCAGTCTGTAGACATTTAGGTTGTCAGTCTGGCGACATTTAGGTTGTCAGTCTGTTGACACTTAGGTTGTCCATCTGTAAACACTTAGGTTGTCCATCTGTTGACACTTTAGTTGTCCGTCTGTAGATACTTTGGTTGTCCATCTGTAGACACTTTGGTTGTCCATCTATAGACACTTAAGTTGTCAGTCTGTAGACATTTAGGTTGTCAGTCTGGCGACATTTAGGTTGTCAGTCTGTTGACACTTAGGTCGTCCATCTGTAAACACTTAGGTTGTCCATCTGTTGACACTTTAGTTGTCCGTCTGTAGATACTTTGGTTGTCCATCTGTAGACACTTTGGTTGTCCATCTATAGACACTTAAGTTGTCAGTCTGTAGACATTTAGGTTGTCAGTCTGGCGACATTTAGGTTGTCAGTCTGTTGACACTTAGGTTGTCCATCTGTAAACACTTAGGTTGTCCATCTGTTGACACTTTAGTTGTCCGTCTGTAGATACTTTGGTTGTCCATCTGTAGACACTTTGGTTGTCTGTCTGTAGATACTTAGGTTGTCCATCTGTAGAAACTTTTGTTGTCCGTCTGTAGACAATTTGGTTGTCTGTCTGGAGACACTTAGGTTGTCTGTCTGTAGACACTTTGGTTGTCAGTCTGTAGACACTTTGGTTGTCTGTCTGTAGACACTTAGGTTGTCCATCTGTAGAAACTTTTGTTGTCCGTCTGTAGACAATTTGGTTGTCTGTCTGTAGACACTTAGGTTGTCTGTCTGTAGACACTTTGGTTGTCAGTCTGTAGACATTTAGGTTGTCCATCTGTAGACACTTACGTTGTCCGTCTGTAGACACTTTGGTTGTCAGTCTGTAGACATTTAGGTTGTCCATCTGTTGACACTTAGGTTGTTCATCTGTAGACACTTAAGTTGTCAGTCTGTAGACATTTAGGTTGTCAGTCTGTAGACACTTAAGTTGTCCATCTGTAGACATTTAGGTGTTCAGTCTGTAGACACTTAAGTTGTCAGTCTGTAGACATTTAGGTTGTCAGTCTGTAGACCTTTAGGTTGTCAGTCTGTTGACACTGTGGTTGTCCATCTGTAGACCCTTAAGTTGTCAGTGGGTATTTAGGTTGTCAGTCTGCAGACACTTAAGTTGTCCAACTGTAGACACTTAAGCTGTCAGTGTGTATTTAGGTTGTCAGTCTGCAGACACTTAAGTTGTCAGTATGTAGACATTTAGGTTATCAGTCTGTTGACACTTTGGTTGTCCATCTGTAGACACTTTGGTTGTCCGTCTGTAGAAACTTTTGTTGTCCATCTGTAGACACTTAAGTTGTCAGTGTGTATTTAGGTTGTCAGTCTGTTGACACTTTGGTTGTCCATCTGTAGAAACTTTTGTTGTTTGTCTGTAGACACTTAGGTTGTCGGTCTGTGAATTGTGAGCTCTCCGACTACTTAGGTTGTCCGTCTGTGAAGTGTGAGCTCTCCGACTCCCTGTGAATCGTGAGCTTTCTGACTCCCTGTGAATTGTGAGCTCTCCCCCTCCGTGTGAATTGTGAGCTCTCCGACTACTTAGGTTGTCCGTCTGTAGAAACTTTTGTTGTCTGTCTGTAGACACTTAGGTTGTCCGTCTGTGAATTGTGAGCTCTCCGACTCCCTGTGAATTGTGAGCTCTCCGACTCCCTGTGAATCGTGAGCTCTCTGACTCCCTGTGAATTGTGAGCTCTCCGACTCCCTGTGAATTGTGAGCTCTCTGATTCCCTGTGAATCGTGAGCTCTCTGACTCCCTGTGAATTTTGAGCTCTCTGATTCCCTGTGAATCGTGAGCTCTCTGACTCCCTGTGAATTGTGAGCTCTCCGACTCCCTGTGAATTGTGATGGTAACAGTTTCTCAGCTCGTTCAATGCTACATATTACTTAATTCACTAGAATATCTTGAAGTCTGTTTTAAATTTGCTTTCAGTTGGGACCTATATAGCTTGCTAACTGTGTTCATAGTCTACATATCTGTTATTTCAGGATCCGTCTATCATGTTCATAGCCTGCATATCTGTTATTTCAGGATCCGTCTATTGTGTTCATAGTTCTGTATCTGTTATTTCAGGATCCGTCTATCGTGTTCATAATTCTGTATCTGTTATTACAGGATCCGTCTATCGTGTTCAGAATTCTGTATCTGTTATTTCAGGATCCTTCTATCATGTTCATAACTCTGTATCTGTTATTTCATGATCCGTCTATCATGATCATAGTTCTGTATCGGTTATTACAGGATCCGTCTATCCTGTTCATAATTCTGTATCTCTTATTTCAGGATCCGTTTATCATGTTCATAGTTCTGTATCTGTTATTACAGGATCCGTCTATCGTGTTCATAATTCTGTATCTGTTATTTCAGGATCTGTCTATCATGTTCATAGTTCTGTATCTGTTATTACAGGATCCGTCTATCGTGTTCATAGTTCTGTACCTGTTATTTCAGGATCCGTCTATCATGTTCATAATTCTGTATCTGTTATTACAGGATCTGTCTATCATGTTCATAGTTCTGTATCTGTTATTTCAGGATCCGTCTATCGTGTTCACGGAGGAGTTCCAGGTCGAGTTCATGACAGAATACCACAAAACTTTTGACAATCTACGACATGAGTTCCTAGTCGGAGAAATGGTGTGGAACTTTGCAGATTTTATGACAGCACAAGGTAATGCACCCTTATAGACCACACATCCGTATTGTCTGTTCCAAGTCATTTCTGCCACTCAGGGAGGGGTAACATTAGCTATCAGAACTAACCGTTTTGAGTAGATTTTGATTTATTCAGTTGGAAGTAATAAGCATGGGATTGCAGTTCAGTGGTATGAACATTAACATTATGACGTCTCATACCTAGGGCCTGAGGAGGGGTGGGGCACAAAAGGGTCAAATTGGAAAAAATGCACAATCTTTTTCTTAGACCCTGTATGCTAGAATCAAAAAGGCCACTTATTCAAACCCTGAATATGGCAAGGATGAGGGCTATCAAATTGTTCAAATGAATGAACTTCACAAATATTTCAGGTTACAGGGGTCAAATATCTTAAACAATTTTAAACAAAATCTTCTGAATAACCAAAAGGCCCTGGATGTTGATATTTTGCCTTTGGAATGTTGGGATGAAGGGCTACCAAGTTGTTTAAATAAATTACCTTGACCTACTTTCAAGGTCACAGGGGTAAAATTATTAAAAAACTGTAACAACTTCTACTCAATAACCAAAACTGCAAGGGTGACGATATTTGGCCAATAACATGCTTGACTGAAGGGCTAAAAAGTTTGTTCAGAATGTTAAACAAGAGGCCTAGAGGGCCTGTACCGCTCACCTGGATCTTTATGCCCTGCATTGGGATATATAGCTATGGGTTTAGGATCTCAACCATTTCAAAGTCATTGCCCAGAAATTAAGTCGCTAGAACAACACAATTGTCAGTACTAATATCATAAATGTGTTCGTCTCTTCACTCTCTTGATGCCCAGCAATGGTATATATGGTTATCGGGTGGGGATCTCAACCGTTTCAAAGTTATGACCTAATCATTCAGTCCTTTGAGGTGGAACCAGACCCCAGGGTCAATTATTTAATATGACTGTCTTTATAATAATAATAATTTGAGGTTCTTATAAACCGCTTGATCACAACCTAGTTCATAGGTCATCTCAAAGCGGTTCACAAATTATTATCCGTGGTTATAGAGCCTTTGCAACTAGCTAATATCTTTCTCAACTCCCTAGGGAGCATACAGCCAGTGCTGCCATTTCGGCGCTCACAGCTAGCATTCTACAATTCTAGCACTGCCCAACCCCGTACTCATTTACAGCTGAGTAGACTGGAATAAGCGGAGTGAATTATCTTGCTCAAAGATACAAAACAGTGCCGTGCCGTGACTTGAACCTGCAACCCTTCGGTCACGAGCCCAGCGTCCTGCCACTAGAGAACTGTGCCTTTCTCTCTTTATGCCTATCATATTTATATATGGTTTTTGGGGGGATCTCAACCATATCAAAGTTGTTGCCCGATTAGTATTGACCCTAGGGGTGGGGCCAGACCCAAGGGTCAATACTAATATCATGATTGAGTTCATCTCTTTATGCCCAGCAATGGTGTACATGGTTATGGGGTGGAGATCTCAACCTTTTAAAAGTTATAGCTCAGGAATTAAGTTCCTAAGGGTGGGGCCAGACACCAGCGTCAATTCTTATATCATAGTTATGTTTGTCTGTTGATGCCCAGCAATGGTATGTATGGTTACACTGATTTTTTTTGCTCAGTTTTACTGCCGAACAGTGCCTTTATCTCTACAGGCTGTTTCCCCTAGCTAAAAAGTGTCTTATTTTCCCAAAATGATCAACGAATGAGGAATTTATTCCCAATTTCAACACAAATTATGCTATATATTCCCAATTCATAGAAAAACAGTCTGTTGAAAAATTTAGGTAACAAAAACACTGGGTTATGGGGTGGGGATCTCAACTGTTTCAAAGTTATGGCTCAGAAATCAAGTCCCTAGGGGTGTGCCAGACCCCAGGGTCAATTGTCATATCATGATTGTGTTTCTCTCTTTATGTTCAGCAATTGTTTCCATGGTTATAGAGTGGGAATCTCGATAATACCTAAGTTAAAAATTCTTTTTGGCCCCGCCCCTCACATACAGGGGTCAGCCCGTCAACTTGTACAATTTTGAATCTTCAACCACTGAAAAATGCTCCAAACCAAGTATGGTTGATATCCATCACTCTGTTCCAGAGAAGAAGTTGCTTTAAGGAATATGGCAAAATTACCCCTTTTTGCCCCTTCCCCCCTCAGCCCCCAGGGGAGCCACACACTCTGTTTATGCAAAAAGTGAATTCCTCTTGCCCATGGATGTTCTAGACTAAGTTTTGTTTAAATCCCTCCATTCATTCAGAGTTAGAATTTTAAATGATTAACCTAAAGAAAGGGTCAACGCCTATAGAGATTTAACATTAGCGTCAGCCCCCACTTGGAATTTCAAAACAAGATAAATCCAAAAAGGTATGGGTATAGGAAGCTTAAATCAGGAACAGTTAGTTTCAGAATTCATTTTATGATAAATGGGACCCCATTGACTTACACCTGTGTGAGTGTTACAGGTGCGGTAATACAATTCCTCCTAGAGCATAATTACTATAAAATTATATCATCATCGTGTGCAACGCATTTCAACTGTTATTTTGATACTGAATATTACGCTATTTCAATAAAGAATTGATCGTTTTATTTAAGATTTAAGCAGAAAAGTGTGTGAAATTTCATTTTTAGCTCACCTGGCCCTTCAGCCCAAGTGAGCTCATGCCGTGGTGCGGCGTCCGGCTGTCCGGCGTCAATATTTTACTTTAAACAACTTCTTCTTTATAACCAAAAGGCCTAGGGTACTGATATTGGGCATATAGCATGCTGGGATGAAGGGCTACCAAGTTTGTTCAAATGAATGACTTTGACCCACTTTCAAGGTCACAGGAGTCAAATGTCTTAAAATCTTCAAACAACCAGTTCTCAATAACCAAAAGGCCCAGGGTACTGATATTTGGCCTGAAGCATGCTGGGATGAAGGGCTACCAAGTTTGTCCAAATGAATGACCTTGACCAACTTTCAAGGTCACAGCGGTCAAATGTCTTAAATCTTCAAACAACTTGTTCTGAATAACAAAAAGGCCCAGAGTACTGATATTTTCCTGTAGCATGCTGGGATGAAGTACTGCCAAGTTTGCTCAAATGAATGACCTTGACCAACTTTCAAGGTCACAGCGGTCAAATGTCTTAAAATCTTCAAACAACTTCTTCTCAATAACCAAAAGGCCCAGTGTACTGATATTGGGCCTGTAGCATGCTTGGATAAAGGTCTACCAAGTTTGTTCAAATGAATGACCTTGACCCACTTTCAAGGTCACAGCGGTCAAATGTCTTAAAATCTTCAAACAACTTCTTCTCAATAACCAAAAGGCCCAGTGTACTGATATTGGGCCTGTAGCATGCTTGGATAAAGGTCTACCAAGTTTGTTCAAATGAATGACCTTGACCCACTTTCAAGGTCACAGCGGTCAAATGTCTTAAAATCTTCAAACAACTTCTTCTCAATAACCAAAAGGCCCAGTGTACTGATATTGGGCCTGTAGCATACTGGGATGAAGTGCTACGAAGTTTGTTCAAATGAATGACCTTGACCATCTTTCAAGGTCACAGGGGACAAATGTCTAAAAAATCCTCAAACCACTTCTTAATTTGTGTGTATTAGAGCTGTCACGATACACTTAACCCACGATTCGATACGTATCTCGATATTTGTACCGCGATTTGATTATTTCGATTTGATACATCTTTATTTTAAAATATAAACAAAATGAGATATATAAGCCGTCGATACACGGAAACCCGCAGTGTTTCCACACTTTTGATTTGAAGCTTGCCGTAGCATTACAAATTTTCATTTCCTTATGGCGGTCCGCCATTTTGTTATGAATGCTTTGTGAAAATTGCATCCTCGCAGCCGATTGGTTGAGGGTTTAGAGATCAGCCAATGAAATTGAACGTCTCACAGACGTTTTGGCTGAAGCGGCATACACTAATATTCAGACTTTGACGCATCGAAAATCCGGAAAAATATATTGTGAATCGAATCGAACATAAATAATCGCGGTACAAGTGTATCGCAGTGAATCGTGACACCTCTTGTGTGTGTATATGTTCGTGTTGTGTTTTTCGGAATGTAAGAAGTATGAAAGGTGTAATTTACGGTTCTATAGAAAAAGCGACATTGAATGCACACGATATGTAAAACAGTCATGGATGACAATATCAAGATTATGAGTATCAATTGTAGAGGTTTCAGAGATATCCAAAAGAGGAAAGGTTAATTACTTTAGTTACAGAAAAAAACACCTCTATATATTGTATGTATACAAGACACCCATTTTATAAAATCTGACGAGAAATTAATAAAATGTGAAGAACTGGGTTGGTTTTGTTTTGTTTAGTATTGTCCTATCAACAGCTATATGGTCATTTAAGGACGGCCTCCCCTGTGTGCATCATGCATGCGTGTAGTGTATGTGTGTGTGTTTTGGGAGGCTCCGATATGTTCGTGTTTGTCTCCTTGTGATAGCGTGGAACTGATGCCGAGTTTATAGTGCTTCCTCACGGAAATATACTGCCAAAGACACCCAGCAGGACACCCCATCCGGTCACATCATACTGACAACGGGCGAACCAGTCGTCCCACTCCTAAATTGCTGAGCGTTAAGTAGGAGTAGAAAAACATTTCTGGAAAGAAGTACTAACTGACTTATAAGAACTTGCTAGTAGAAATATATGATGAAGATAATATATGCCAACAACTAGGGTATAATGACAAAATAAAAATTGATAATAAACCAGCTTATTTCAAACAAGGTATTGTTTGTACACGACCTATTGAACATACGGGGTGAAATAATTAACTCTTACAAACACTTTTGTGAAAAATACGAGTTCCGTCCCCAAATAACTATGTTCTATGGTTTGCGCAATGCAATTACAGATCTATGTAATATGTAACACAAAACAGGCAGCGTACCACCATATTACCACATTGTCCAAGATACATCTAATTATAATAATTTGAGGTTCTTATATACCACTGCATCACAATCTAGTTTCTAGGTTGTCTCAAA